CTGAAACCAGTATGGAGGTCCGAGAGGTCAAGGAGGACGTTCGGGAGCTACGTCGCCTGTTAGAAGCGTTCCTCTCCAACAAAGATAAGAACTCGGAAGGGCTAGCCTCTACCAACAGTCGCCGCATGGACGGGACAGAATCAGCCAACGAACATCAAGCTGCAACACCAATGGCTGCAGTTGTTCCCAAATACAGTCGGCTTGAATTTCCATCTTACGACGGCACCGGAGACCCGTTAGGATGGTTGTACCGCTGCGAGCAGTTCTTCCGCAACCAGCGCACGGATGACAGAGACAAGGTCAGCCTGGCAGCCTTCCACCTTAYGGAAGAGGCACAACTTTGGTTCTACCGCGTGGAGCAAGAAGAACCAGGGCTCAGCTGGGAGCAGTTCAGGTCCTACTGCCTCCTTCGGTTCGGACCCCCACTAACAAACAACCCTTTGGGGGAACTCATTAATCTCAAGCAGACCAGTACCGTAGCAGAGTATCAGCGGGAGTTCCAGACCCTTCTCGCCAGGGCCTCTTCAGTACGACCGGACCAGCAGGTTGATATGTTCACAGCGGGTCTAGCCGAATCCCTGAGAGTTGATGTAGAGATGCAGAGCCCRCCTAACCTGGTCACAGCAATGAATTTAGCCCGAGCCTTCGAACGCAAACTGCAGATCAGTCGAGGGCCGTTCAGCATGGGATGCCCAGCAGTGGCTTGGACAAACCCGAAGCCTACTGGAGGAGGGTCTTCACWAGCAGACAACAGGGAACCACTCGGAATGGCCTCATATCCAGCAGCCAGCCTAGAACGGAAGCCACAGACGAGCACCAATTCCATATCAACATCCAGTGTGGGTAGCAACGGCGGTACACCTCCTATCAAGCACTTGTCAAGGGCTGAGATGGCAGAACGCAGGGCGAGGGGGCAATGTTTTAATTGCGATGAACCCTACTCGGCAAGGCACAGGTGCAAGAGACTTTTCTGCCTCCTGGTGAAACAAGAGGAAGATGAGGATGAACCCCCTCCATGGGAACCCGATCCAGGAGGGCAAAGCCACCCAGGAYTCCCTTGAGGGTGTTTCGACACCCAATTCGAGCTTGGGGACAAGCTCGTAGTCCGGGAGGGGTGTGATGTTATGAACACACCACCCGGCAACGCACGGCAGCACAGCCATAGGCAGCAGCACACACAGCGGGCCGCCTAGCGGCACGCACCGCCCGGCAGCGCCGCATAGCAGGCTGGCAGCACGCGGCACATACCGCCC